TCTCTCTCTCTCTCTCTCTCTATTTCTCTCTTACACACATCATCTCTCTTTCTATCTACCTTTCTTGTTCTCTGTCGTTTTCACTCTACTTCTGCTACTATATCATTCACCCCGTTTTTGAATATTTATGATCTACTTGTGTCTATTACTTTAACACATTACCTCTGTGTGCTTGAGTCGTGCGTGCATGTGTGCGCGCGCGCGTGTGTGCGTGAGTGGGTGTTTCCGGTTTAACTAGCTGGTAGGTTTATAATTTCACCGAACTTAATTCACTATTTTCGTAGTCCGCTTGACCAATTAATACATGACAATTAATTAAGGTTTTTAGTTGAGATGAAAAAAAGCTAATGGCACGAGAGGGATTCGAACCCACGACCTTCGGCTAGATACGCCGCTGCTCTACCACCTGAGCTATATATATCAAAAAAAGAAAAAAAAATTAAATTGAATTGAAAAATGGCAAAAAGGAGGAAAAATTCAAAAAGGGGCGGTTGATATGGGGAGTTGATGTCCGAGTGGATCGAGGTCACGATAGCTCAGGTGGTACAGCAGCGTCGTATCTAGCCGAAGGTCGTGGGTTCGAATCCCCCTCGTGCATTAGCTTTTTTTCACCTCAACTAAAAACCTTAATTAATTGTCATTTCACCGAACATTACAATTTTAATGAGAGGTACATTTCGTTTAATTTAACTTTCTCGTTGAACGTATTTTTTTCTTTTTACCTTCTTTTTTTGTTGTGTTCTTCGGACTTCATCAAATCCTAAAGACTGCCGAGCATTGGGAAAATTCCCCCGCCCTCATTACATCTGTTAACAGTTTACATTAACTTCTTTTCCTTTGAACAGGGGGAAAGCCATGGGATGGGGTAGAATTCGTGGGTCGCTAATGGCGTTCTGTCAGAGTTATCGGCCCGTACAAAGGCCCTTGACAATAAAATGGACCCAAAGCCCTTAGGCGACTTCCTTGACTTTTCCTTCATCCACTACATCTTTTCGTCCTGGGTGGTTATTCAGGATTAATTACCACTAACTTTGAGCCGATTTTCCTCATTGATGAATTGTATTTTTATGGTGCTATAAAAACGTTTGAATATACAGAATCTCTTAAACGGTCTAGGTAATTGAGGATGGTACCGAAATTTGAATTTATGCAGTATAAGAAAGGACAACAGGTGGTCTTTCGGATTAATCTACATTTTAATTATTTTATTCTTTTTGTGAAAGTGCAGTTTCATGTTTTTGTTAAGTATAAATGACATGAAATTGGTTTGTAGTTCATGATCGTCATGATAGTGGCATGTTTTCGTTATTTTTATCTCCCTTTTATAATTTTTTGTATTTATATTTTCACGTGCAGGTTGACCGTGAAGAGTAAATTATAGTCAGTACATTAACAAAACTTTTTCTAAATGGACATACGGAGTTTATAATGCGTATGCGGTGATTAGGAGGTCGTTGAACTTTTCTTCCTATGATAGCGCGACCGTGGACTTCCGCCCGGGCAGAGTACATCTCGGGTAATGGGAAAATCCCTTTCGAGGGCCATAAAATCTCTACGGGGTGTGTCGCCGGCCGATCGAAAAGCATGGTATTTATGATCGATTGATGTCCACCCTGTTTACACTTGTTCGCTCATCGTCGGATCAGGATTGAGGATAATACTCAGTCGAACTATTAGATACCACATTTCTACAAATTGTTTATCTATTCTCGAAGACACCGGGTTATCGAAAAATAAGGTCACATCGTAACATTTTTTAATCTTGACAGTGTGGTAATGCCTGTTTCGAAACACAGTTCACTGATTATTCCAATTTGTGATCAATTGCGTTATAAATAAATCAAAAAGCAATTTCTGGATTCAGTCATGTCTATAAACTCCTAATCTTAATTTGTTTGTCATAACGTTTATTATAATTGCATTAATAACGATTGAAAGCATGTTATACTAATTGTTTGATTGCTGACACAGTCCGCCTAGTTTCGCTTTCTTGGCGTTTGTCCATTTTGATTAGATAATGGTTGTGGCATTTCGATAAAGATTAAGATTTTAAAAAAGAAATACGCCGACGAAAAATTAAGTACATTATGCATACCATATAGACTAGATAATCAAATTTGTCATAGAACTAGCTAGCTGATCGTACAGATAACTAGAAATTTAATTTAGGATATATAAGATTGGTGTATAAATACATCTGCAGGTGGTTAGATAAATAAATAGAAAGCTAGATAAATTAGGTAGATATTTGATTAATAGATACGATTAATCAAAAGTAAGGTCAATAGCTGAAGATAATTCTTAGGTTAATTCAAATTTAGAGGGAAATCTATGTCTGGGCAGACAACAAGTTAAAAAATTAGGCAGAGAAATGCATAGAAAACTTGATAACTGTGTAGCAGCACTAACTAGTATTATGCAGATGAATGAATAGACAAATATTAATCAAATGAGTAAGGACATATGACAAATAAAGTGTGACGATGATAGAGTAGCAGTAAGAGCAAAAGTAAAAGTAGCAGATATAATGAAAAAGTTTAGAGTGATCTAGAGAGAGTAGAGAGAGAGAGAGAGAGAGAGAGAGAGAGAGAGAGAGAGAGTGAGTGAGTGAGTGAGTGAGTGAGACCGTTAGAGAAAGACAGAATGTTAGATGGGTGACAAAGAATAAAAGCCTGCATAGTAAGAGCAAAAGGAAAAGTAGTGATGTAATGAAAAAGTTTAAAGTAATCTAAAGAGAGAGAGAGAGAGAGAGAGAGAGAGGGAGAGAGAGAGTGTGTGAAATTGAAAATTTGAATGGAGTGGTGGGAGAAAGACATACAGAGAATAAGAGTCATCAGAGAGAGCGATGAAAAAAATGGAACAAAAAATTTTAGAAGGGAGAAGATCTATTAAAGAAAGGGGGAGGGAGTGCGGGACAGAATGAGAGCTAGAGGTAGAGAGAGAGCGAGAGAGAGACAGACAGACAGACAGAGAGAGAGAGAGAGAGAGAGAGAGAGAAAGAGAGAGAGAGAGAGAGAGAGTGAGAGTGAGAGAAATAGAAATAGAGAGGGAGTGTGTGAAAGGGAAAATTTGAATGGAGTGGTTGGAGAAAGACATACAGAGAATAAGAGTCATCAGAGAGAGCGATGAAAAAATGGAAGTAAACAAATTTTAGAAGGGAGAAGATCTATTAAAAAAAGGGGGAGGGAGTGCGGGACAGAATGAGAGGTAGAGAGAGAGAGAGAGAGAGAGAGAGAGAGAGAGAGAGAGAGAGAGAGAGAGAGAGATTTTGTGAATGACATACTGAGTTTGTGAGAGAGGCTATAAGTGGTGACTGCGAATGACTGAGGGAGTGAGTACGAGTGGACAAAAGAGCTGAGAAAGTTGAAGTCTTTTTATGGTTGATGAGAAGAAGAAAAAAAAATCAGAATATATTTTATCCTGTCGAGGCTTCATCAAACTGCACAGTATGCAAATGTTTCCGTCATCAAAATTACTCTTTAAACCTAGCAGATGGCAGCTAAACAATCACTCAGAGCTACTCCATGTCGGGTAATTATTTTTGATTTATAGGGTCGTTCGAACGATACTTTGAATAAATCGGGATAGGTCGAAGATTTTACGACATGCCATGTTGATTTTGGGAAACAATGTAATTCTATTTTGTAAAATGTACTTTCTTGAAGGATAAACAGACAAGAAAACAAGGAATAGATACGAACTGGTTTTACCAGGATAAAGGATCTCCATCTTGATTATTTGTAACATTTTTCTTAACTTGCTTCTCTCCATTTTGTTTATTATTAGTTTAACGACCCCGCGTTGCTCGTTTCTTATTAGTATTCTTCTCTTGACGAATGCAAATGGGACCTTGTTTTACATTTTACGACCCCTTTCTCGTTTTATTAGCGCGGGGAGCAAAAGAACTATGGGGTGCGGGGAAAAAACCAAATTAAAACTTTAATTTGATTTATGTCCCGATTGAATTGTCCAGGCGGAATTGTACTGTTGCATCTAAACGCCTAACGTTTATTAATTTTGGATGACACAACTCTCCTTTTATTCGAAAATAATCGATTTTCACAAATTTTAAAAACTACCCTTATACCTGAGATTATCTCGCTCAATAAACGCCATTGTATGGAGCTACTTTATTTTTGAATAGTGCTTTGTTAAAGCACCGAAATTTGAAGGAAGAAAATAGATCCTCCTGCATTGTAATCCGCATTTTAAACGCCTATAAATACGACACGATGCACATCAGCATTAATCAGTATCATTATATTTTTAGAATAATTCTATATGCCCATGTATCGTTTCGAGATATATGTACATAACTGTAAATTTGAGTGATCAGTTTTCGATAATTTTGGTGCATATCCATGAACATTTGTCCATCAGGCGTGTCGTAATTATACATCAAAAGATGGGTGATGATTTGGGTTATAACTAGGGGAAAGGCATACGCCAGTTGTCTTTTTTTTATCATTTTCTTCTGTCTTTCATCACGGTTTTGGCCATCATGGATTTCAGTTTTGTCCTAATCGAGTTCACCAATGGATTTAAACAATGCAGTGTATGTCTGGTTTTCTCTCGCGCCCCAGGATCAATCACAGGAAAAGACCCAAACTACTGGTTCATCACTGCGTAGACTCCAAGACAAAGCCTACTGAACTTATTTGACGTAGACCGCCAATTACAGTTTGACGAAATAAATCTAGTAGTTAATTCAAAGCTCCATCCGGGAATTAATTGGAATTTTTTACATTTTATCTCTGAGTAACCATGAAAGAATCATATCTTTTGCATCTTCTTTTAGAAAGCGAGTCACGTCACATTTACGAGTATTTCAAAGCTGAAAATTCCCGTTGATCTTATTTTGTACGCTCTTGGAAGCGGAGCGTAGCTTTTGCAATGGATAATGGACAGGAATGAATTTAAATTGTCCTGCGGTCAGACCGCAGCTATGCCCGGCTCGCCGGTTTAATACGTTTCTCACTCTCTTTCTATTCTGTTTACAGTTCACGACCCATGGCAATTCGGAGAAGGGGTGCCCCCAAGGCTCGGACTGTTCCATGGTGAGTTTTTGTTCACTTTTTCTAACCTTGCTTTTCCTTTTGTTTCGACCACAGAGGACATTGTCGTGGACGAGGAAAATTACAAATGAGTGTTTCCTATATTCCAAACGATCTAAATAACTATTATAAATGAGTTCTATTATAAACTCTGTAAGGAAGATGATAATATATTATCATTTCAAGGTATTATATAATGATGGTTGTTATCAAGTCTTACCACTTATTCCAATAAGACAGGTTAAAACGGAACTAAAGCACCCCTTGAGGCTCATAAACGAAATAACGTTTAACCTTTCACATCGATAACCTTGTCTTTATTATAACAACAAATAAAATATAAAAAAATGTTATGGTTTTTCTTAAATGACCATGTTTGTGAAGGCAATTTTGGCATTTAGATATTCTTTTCAAATAAAAATTGATGTTGTAGTATTGAATCTTATAAAATGTGACATCACGCATATACATTGTTTTATGTCCTCTCACATTCTTGCGGTCTTCTTCTTCGACCTTTCTTCCTCTCTCATCTCACTTTCTCTAGGAAAGAATGATTCAATGAAGTAGTACGGTTTTTTAAATGAATTTAACTAAATCTATTTATTCTACAATATCGTAGTCTCATTCCATTTCATCTCTCTCTCTCTCTCTCTCTCTCTCTCTCTCTCTCTCCNTTCTTTCTATCTATCTTTCTACGATCAGACTATTTTTTTAACCTCCTCTCTTACCTCTCTCTCTCTCTCTTTCTCTCTCTCTCTCTCTCATTCTCTCTCTTTATCTTTCGTTCTGTCTATCTTTATCCCTTTCTTGTTACCTCACAATTTTTCTTACCTCTCCCTTACTTCCCCTCTTTCTTCCTATAACTCTCTCTTTTTTTCTCTCATTCACTCTCTTTATTTTTTTTAATCTTATTATCTCACAATTTTTCTCACCTCTCTTTTACTTTCCTTCTTTCTTCCTATAACTCTCTTTCTCTCTCTTTCTCTCTTTCTCTTTCTCTCATTCTCTCTCTTTATCTTTCTTTCTATCTATCTTTTTCACTAACATTCCCATTGACTTACTTCCATCGCAGTTGCTTTTTCAACTGCTCACCTCTGCCTACCACTTTTCCCTTTCTTCCTTGTAACACTTAATTGGTACTAAATTCTAAAAGTAAACAAACATTTCCAAAAGAATTAGCTTCCAGCAGAAAAGCTAACAATTCCGAACATGAAAAATGTTGAGTAGCTAAAAAAACGAGGTTCAAACAGATTTTTAAACTAGTTCTTCACAGAAACAAGACGGTTACCCTAGTTCGAACGGTGAGGTGCACGAAGTGGTTGGAGGGACAAAAAAGTAAAAAGAGAATGGACCAATTTTAATTCGTGATGCCGTCGGTGGAATGGCTTTATAATTAAGTCAGTCGACGAGGGGTTCATTAAGGGACAATTTTCTCAGCTCGTCTACAGTCGAGGCAAACATACATAGCGGAGAAAAAAAAATTATCCCCAGCCCTCCTTTTTCACAGGACCAATTTCACTGGCAGGACATTAACAAGTCAGCGTGAAGGGCGATGTTTGAATGTCCGATACAATTAGGGCAGCGTTTTTGTTATTTTGGTAGGGTTTCAAAAACCCTCCGGCGTCAGGAAAAAAGGCAATGGAGTAAATTGTGAAAAACGCCTTTATTATGAACGGACTAGGAAAAATGAAGCCTCCTTTTTAAAACCCTGACCTGCATTTCTTATCACTACTTTGAATATGGAGCCAAAAAAAAATTTAATCTTATTTTAATAAATATATATTTTAAAGTAATAAATTTATCTATGTGTAAAATAGTTTAAAATGCTTTTCCCTCTTTCACGCGATTGGGCAACACTGTGAGCAACACTGCTTCCGGGAAATAAGGCTTTTTGGGGTCAGTCACATAATTTAGTCCGCCTAAGGTTTCCATAGTACTTTATGATGTTTTTGCGTTAAATAAATACTATAAAAACCTATTTAGTATTCATCAAACTAAGTAGGGACTAATTACTTTACCATAACCATCGGGGGGGGGGAACAGTCTCAACTCTGAGGATCTTCGGAAGAGGTCAAAACACAGGTTTTGACCTCTTCCGAATATCCTCTGAAAAGAACTTCTTGTATCCAGCAGGTCGATAATCTATTTTCATCGTTACAGTCTCAACTCTTTACAACTTTACGCACAGATAAATTTATTACTTACTTTGGCGGGTTAACGTTACATGTACAGCTCGACAGAAATATGGGAAAATATTTAGAAATTACATTGTTAGACATAAAAATGGAAACATTTTACAAAAGAACTACAACAATATCTTCAGATCTGGCATATTCGACAGACAGATAAATAGATACATATGAAAATATGATTACAAGTATTATAACATAAATGTATTGTAATGGACGCCTATATCGCTGCAAGGCTATCGATAGCTAGTTATGTAGTTAATTAATAGTACATTTAATAAAAGTATAGGTACTTATAAAAAAATACTAAACTATTCCATACAGTAGCCGTTTGTTTACATATTTTTGTGATGCATGACGTGTTTAGTTATTTTATTTTATAATTATTAATATACAAAATTGAAATTGGTGAGATTTAGTAGCGTGAAATATTTATTTTATATCTGAGTCGTTTGTTTGTAACTCTTTTCCTTTTCGAGGGAATAAAAAGATCCTTTTGATGTAGAGTTTTCTTTTTTAGATCGGCACCATAAAAAGAATATTTTACCCTTTTCTGTTATTAGAGAGGTCTAAAAACGTCTTATTTTCGACTTCTTCGTCCCTGGAACGCCTTGAGGCGAAGCATCTCGCTTTAACCTCTCGTCAAAGAGAAAAGACAAAGAAATCCTACGGGAAAAGGAAACAAGGATCGAAATGCGACCCTGTGTCCCACAGACTCGAAATAAAGCCAGGGAATTTATTCAGGCCAATCTGGCCGGTCGAACGTGAGTCCGATACAAACATTTTCCCAGTCTGGAACAACCATTAGGCGAATTCTCAGTTCTCTTTTCTTCCCTCCTTTGTTAACTCTACATTTTTTTTTTACTTCCACCCTTTTTCTCACTTTTAATAACTGCAGGGAGAATGGCTGTGCCCTTGTTAACCGCCCATTCTGGCCCAACTAAGTGTAACGCCGGCTGGACAAAGGATCGACTGACCGCTGTTTAGCCCTCTGGGCAAAAAGGATTTCGTTTCTGTTCTTTGTCGCCCCTGGACAAAGGGAAGAAAATAAGGATTAACCCTAAGAGGCGGGCCGTTGTCTGGGCAAAACAAACAAAACAGTTCGGTTATGAATTCTATGACCTGGTTCCACCTGGAATGCCAGAAGGACCATTTTTAAAAAGAAAATCGCCATAACAACCACTTTTGGGATTGTAGGGTGGTACACTAGGGTTATAATTTTTAAAAAGGGTAGCCGGATTATTATCCCCTCTGTCAACTACGGGAAAAAGTATGACTTCACTGCCTAATACAAAGTTGCTATTTTCTTTCTTATAATTATTTATCATAAGTTTTCCTTAAGAACAATCTTTGGGCATGCCTAAGTAAAATTTTTATTCGTCATCATAGATTAAATCATTCTGGATTAATAAATAAGCAATGTTATATGGAAATTTCAATTTCTCGCCATCTTCAGAGTTGGGTTCGTGTCGATGCGTAGTCCTTCCATATTTCCAGTCTGGTGAATATGCTCAAAAATAACACCGATGCTCTTTTCACGCGTCTGCCAGACTAAAACGTCGTTCATAGTCAGACTAGAAAGGGATGGTGACGGTAAGTACCCTTGCGGTACTCCGCCAAAATTTGTATAAATGAAAAGCATTTTCAGTTTGAAACGATTGTCATGTAAGGCTACAATAACTAAAAAACCTAACCAAATTAAATGTTCAGTATATACCTGAAAATCTCTCTATGCAGTAAGATTAGTAGTAGAAATTTCGCCAAATAAGGAAAATATTTTAATTATTTAGATGTCCTATTATCCCTCATTAGGTTTAATGTAGTTAGTGGAATTACCTGTTTTTATTTGTAAACTAGAAATTTTATTGATGAATACTAAGAAGTACCCTTGTGATACTCCCATCCCAGTGGTAATAAATTTTTGTAAAAAATTATAAGTTTGAAGGAGTGTCGTATAAAGCAACAAGTAGGAACATAAATTACAAAAATTGAATATTTTTTATATACCCCCACAGTATGTTACTGTACGTAATAGGATGAATATTTACCCTTGGGAACCTCCCGGACAACTTTTAAATTATCAGTCTATTAATAAAGGAGACGTCTTATTTTGGTTCATTAGCATAAAACTATTTAGTTTAATTAAAAATCTGTTTGTTTTTGTGCGTGTTAGCTAGAATTGTAAGCGCCACAAACTAAGCACTAGTAGAGTTATTTACCCTTGGGCAACATCCATAAAATTTGTTCCTTCGCAAGTAATATTCAGGAACTGTAACGATGAACTAGATTATCGACCTGCTGGATACAAGAAGTCTTTTCAGAGGATCTTCGGAAGAGGTCAAAACAGAGGTTTTGACCTCTTCCGAAGATCTTCTGAAAAGACTTCTTATATTCAGGAACTTTTGAACTAGTGAAAATCTGAAAAATACCCGATTTGCTTAGCGAATATGGCGAAGGAAAACTTGTCAAGTAGGAGTAGTACTTTCTAGTTCCCTTGAGTAAACTCGGCCGAAAATTCTGTTAACCTCCTATGGTTTTGACTGTACAATCTTCGCATGATTTGAAGTCCTTCATTTATTTTGGGTCCACTCCACAAATACTTTAATTTGAGGTTGGATTACCTTTCAAGTTTGTGGTTTTACCTGGATTCTGGATCATTTGGGCTTTGTTAACTGGGCATCGTTTTCTTACGCACAACGATGGCATAAGGTGCCATTAGTGCCTTGATCGTACTGGTGGTTTTATTTCTTCCTCATTCGTACTTCCCAAAGCACTTTCTTCAGCGGAGAGGTGTGACATGTAGTGTCAGTCAAA